TCTAGTGTGGTGTACCCCGTGTCCTCAGTTTTGCGGCTGTCGTATTACTCCATCACTATTGGGAAATGATGAAGTCGACAGTGAGAATTCATAAGGGCGTATACGCGATGATCGATTCTCTTCATCGATTTTCTCTTTGCATTGCTACAGCTAAATGCAGAGATGTAACAGGTTGTATTGGCTATCAAAGGCAACAGCAAACGCACTGAGAAACATTAATTCTAGCGAGTTATTAACAAAAGAGAAAATCGACGAAGAAAAGCGATCATTGCTTTTACGCCCTTTATGCATGCTCACCGTTGAAGTATTCGGTTTTGATACAGTTGTAATTCTTGCCTTTATCGCAAGGATCCGACTCTGGTTGTAAGGACCCGCTCTTTATACCGCGCGCTCCATTCGTGAGTTAAATCGGATTGCTTTGCAACAAAATCACCGATAATGACCGCACATTTAATCGCATACTCGAAGTTCGGTACTTCTTTAAGCGGACTACTCTCGGCAAAACTATAAAATTGCAAAACATTCGGCTTTTTTACATGTTTATTACGAAATCAGTAATGTAAGGTACTGACGGTCAGTATTTTCCAAAATCAATTACTGTGTCCTGCTATTTTTACTGATCTGTTCTGTAAACTTAAATTCTCTTCTGTGGTCAATTATTTCAGTAATATAAATTACTGGTTCGTTTGTAAACATATCTCTTTTACTGTATGGTCATCATATCATTACCGAATAATTAGTCAAAATAACTGAACAAACTGTAATTTGTGATCTCACGTGGACCAGCTGTCAAAAACTTCAAAAGCACACCAGTTTATGAATAAAATTTTATACTACGAAGTAAAAAGTGTATTTTCCAGGAAATTTTAATAAATCTTTCATCAAGTTATGGTGAAAATTGCTTTAAATTGACGATTCACTCGACGAAGTGCGCATTGCACGTAGTGTCACAAATTCTAGAACCCCTTCCCTCCAAAAAAGTAAACGCGATATTTGAATCGCTCCTTTACTGAAAACAATACGCGTCTATAATGTTACAAAAAGTAATTATATTTACCACGAAATGGTACTTCTTTGATTGCTGTTACCTGGGGATATGTAGTTGATTCACAACATTAATTAAAATTAATTCGATGAAAAATTTTTAATGTCGGGGAAATGTATGTAATGTCGGCCTAAATGTCACTAATTTGGGCCCATACATAAATGGGCTTAATTTTCAATAGCGGCCAAAAACATCCATTAGTACCGTGCCAATGACGCGTTCATCTAGATAAAATTGATTAATAGTAGATTTTTAGCGATGGGCCCAATCTTAGATCCATAGGCCAACATTAGAGCCATTTCCCCTATTATTAAAATAAACAAAAAAAAGATTTAAATTATTAACATTTTACGCTGTTTTCAAAACTTACACCATTGATACCGTCGCCATAGTAGAACCAGGAATCACGAACTTTCAGCTACACTTCACATGTATGTGATCTGTCTAGACGTTGAGAGGTTGTATTTATGCGACATGCTTGAAAAATCAGGAATTTTGTGCTTGTGCTGGTTGAATGGAGGTCTTCTTAAAACTGCTCGACTGTAGAATTAATTGGTGAGTACACACTACCAAAAAGTCATGTAAATTTCGATGCCCTGAGACCGACACATGCAAACGGCCCAAATGAAATGACATTTACATGACATGTTTGTTTACGTTCCATAATTTACGTCAAAGATGGATTATGTCTCGTGTAAAAATAGTTATTTTTAAGTGTGTAGGAGACTTTCAGTTCATACGAACATTGATCCAAACATCATACAACATCATGAACTGTTAGTTTTAGAAGTTTTAAATTTGCTATTAGCGTCGCCGGTGGAGTAGTGGAATGCGTGATTGCCTCTCACCCCAGCAGGCCTGGGTTCAATCACAGTCGGCGCCGCCGCGATGTTCTGAGGCATAACATCTCTGATCATGCCTTCCAAGGGAAGTAAAGCCGTTGGTCCCCGGTTTATGAGTTGATGGGTCGATAGGTATGGTCCAGGTGTGGGAGATGCCTCCCTGGCTTCGGTAGCATTTGTGCTCAGCACGGAAAACAAGATCGACGGAAAACAAAATCAAGGGAACAAATGGCTAGTGTGGCATTTCCACAGACACAATTTCCTCCAACCACAAAGGATAATAAGACACTTGCTTGTTAGTACAAAAAAAAAAATCAACCATAATATTTGTGTGCTTCAACAGCTTTTCCGCAAACTTTCCCAGCAACTAAAGCACTTAATATTGATCCTTCAGCGTTGTTGTGTTAGGATATCATTTCCCTTGGTTTCAGGACAACCTCTTTTCTTTGTCGGACGAAACATAATGATGAAAACCAAAATCGCCTCCACACAAATCCATGCCATCGCGTCGATCTGACACCGAAACACTCCCAATCAAAACAGTTAAACCAACGTTGTTGTTATGGGTGATTCTCATACACCAGCCATCACCACCAGCCACCAAGGATAAGATAAACATGCCATTATCGCTCGTTTGCCTCAGAGTTCGATGGTTGGAAGATTAGTTTTTTTTTTTCCTTTCTTTCAATAACATATTTGTGGTGACACTCTGTAAAGAAAAGCCTGATTTGGGTTGATTTTCATTTATTTCCAATTTGAATGGTGAAATTCGTACAACCACAGGACTTTGGAACAAGGTTCATTTTTTTTTCGCGAATGCTGCTATGTTATACTTTTCGGATTTGGATTTGAATTTTGCTAGCTCTGAAGCTCGTGAGATTCGGTTTAACTATTTGTTACATAGAGGCAAATGGTCTATAATTGAACAGTATTACTGACGATCGTTCGAACGCTTATGGGTGTTATTGATTGCTTTGATTGTTAGTTAGTTCAATCTCCTAGCTTATTGTTTAAATATGTGGAACTCTATCATCAAGTTGGAAAATTTGATCTTCATAAGGGTGTGTATGTGACTTAATGTAAATATAAAGGAAAGGATACCTTCCGGGTTTTATGCAGTAACATAATGTGTTTCAATTAAGCGTAATTTCTTTGCTTGATCGACTCTTCCTCACCCTTTGAGACGATAAAATCTCATCTAATCATAACATCTAAATTGAATCTACGTGCTATTCTAACCGGTTTTCGGGTGGAGATATCTAAGAATGCAATTTTAACATCTAACACAATAGAGATGAGATTTTCCCGACTCACCGGATTTTTACGTTCTCAATCACATGTTTCTATCATTTCCATTTGTACTGAAACTATTATCTCCTTCGTCCTAAATGCATTTCGTTATCTTCTGCACAACGTCTATACCTTGTTATTATTTTGATTAGTAGCACAACAGTTTACTTTGTTCATTAGCATATCATACTTTGCATTGATGCAAACGAATTCTAGGAAGATGTGAAAATCAGCATTTTTTGCAAACAAATATATCTCTACGAATGGAGCATTATTATTCAAATTTATTCTGATGCTAGAGAATCATCATGAATAATCGCAGCTTTTCCTCTCACAGTTTCCATAGATTGTATTCAAGTACTTGGGTTCTCAGTTAGCCTAGCCAGTAAAGGCACGGGTTTATCAAGCCGGAGGCGGTGAGTTCGATTGATGCCGGTCGAGGAAATCTTTCCTCGGCTTGCGACAAAATATACAAATTAATTAATACAAATTCTGTTTTACAAATTAATTATTTACAAACTGACAATTAATAACTGCGGAAGTGCATATTGAAAACAAAGTTGTGAGCCGGCACAACACTTGCAAAAGAACGCAAATAGCCTCGAAAAAAAATCAACTAATTCTTGGTGGATGTTTGTCTATATTTGCAACGTCTTGCCATCAAATTGGATCCCAGAAATTGTTTTAACAATATTGCAGATCAATATTGGAAAGTAGAATCAAGCTTCAGTGCAAAAAGTCACACTTATTTTAGGGAAAATTATTTAAATTATATGAATCATGATAAGTGCAAAGTGTATAGGGGTTTTGATCTAATTTCCCTACTACTAAGCACAACCCACGCATTCATCTCTTTTTAGAACGGATATGAACAAAAATTGGAATTACTTTACAACAGATGCCTTCCAAATTAAATTACCTTTCCATATGTATCATTGGGTTTGATAAAGAGTCTCAAATTGTTGAGCTATTGTAAAAAATCTAAAACTGCTTCTTGATTTCCGATTTGTCCTACGAGATTCAATTCCGTCCTGACGCATTGAAACGCCTTTAGATTTTCATCATCTTACGGATAAAGGCAGAGAAAAAGAATTCGCTAGGAGCGCTTCTATTGTTTTTGAGAACAATGGGTGTACATAAGTAAGTAGGTTTTCGTTGTAGCTTATGAACTAACGCATCGGAACCAGTCTCGACAATACACGGTGATATTGACAATTCTGATTTGTCCACTCATTTGAGCTAACAGTCATCGTCAAGTTCGTAGAAAAATGCATCATCTGGACAATACAAATGAATATTTTTTTATTGCTAGTGATACATTGTTAAAAAATGCTTTCATTTGAAATTTATGAATTGGCCCAATATTAGGGACACTTGTCAGCTTAAGTGTTCCTAATATAACCCTATCTACGCAAATAAAACACTGCAAATTCATTTCAAATCCAATATCGGCCCTAGGTCTAGGCCCAAAACTGGCACACTTACCCTATATGATTGTATTAGTATTGGGCATCGTGAATTACATATGTTTAACATCATTCGGGTTTCGAACTGGAACTGCACTGTTGCCAAATGACGAAAAATGGATTATAATTGAAATTTCGGTTCAATTACTGGTTTGACCAAGTGACCCCTTAAGTTTAAAGCAAGCGTATGCTACGGCTGTCAAATCCAATATATATCAAGACCAACAATTGAAATGGCCTTAACTTCATTTTGTAAACAAACCTTGTAAGGCCATTTTCTCGCGAACCGAAACCTTCATTCGCAAACCTAAACCACAAACGGGTAGAGGAGAACTTCGGTTCGCGAGAAAATGGCCTTACAAGGTTTGTTTACAAAATGGAGTTAAGGCCATTTGAATTATTGGTCTTGATATATTGACTTTGGTTCTTTGCATTTAGGCACCGATTTTTCGGTTGGTTTACCCCAAACTGTGGGCATGAAATTTATTGAAATCAATGAACTTGAATCTATGATGCATTAAAGCCAACCGGATTAACAGCTTTTGGTCCAAAACAGGTTTGCTCCCTATATTTTTCTACATGGCAAACGTAAATTACGCAATGTTTTCCACAATGTCACCATGTTATCTCCAAATCTTAACATCATGGCATAAACAATATACGAAAATGGTAAATTTCGTTAAACACACGTGCAGCCCAAACCTTAAATAACAAATAACAATAATTATTTCTTAAATTCAGCCCCACAAAATGAGTGTGGGGCTTAGAAAAAAATGTTGGGTCAACTATGCACAAATTTCTTCACAAAATGGAATGTTTTCACTGCAGATGCCTTCTAAATTGTGTTGCCTTTCCGTACGTACCGTAAGGTTTGATAAAGAGTAACACATTTTTGCGATATTGTTAAAAATCTAACACTGCTTCTTGACACCAAACTCGGCCTACGAATTCTAAGCTCAGCCTAACGCATTGAAACGCCGTTGGAACGCCGTTAAATTCACTTCGGCCTACCGGATCAAGATAAAACTTGATTCGGTCGGAGCGCTTGTTTTGTTTTTGAGAATAATGGGTGCAAACATTCATATCACGCGTTCTTATTGACTTCGTTCGGTAGCTTTTGATCTAATCGTACCAAACGCATAATTGGTTCGTTAACACCGAAATCATGGATTTATTCGATGTTATCTGCTCGATAGGCCCAAAATCGGCGATTAGACCGAAATAGTTCTCTACCCTAAGTCAAGTCTTGAAATATCAATTATTCAATTCAAGAGTGCTTACGCAAAAGATGTGCACTCATAAGATACACATTAAATAACAAAAGGATCTAAGAAGTGTGAGTGCATTTAACAAAATCGTCAACACTCCAACAATACATAAAAAACAAAGCTTATGGTTCAAAGCTCACCGCGTGGTATACTTCTTCTATCCTATTCCCTGAAAACAAAAGGAAAATTGCAACGCAACGCTTTCTCCAGCCAACATAATGTAAACTATGAGACAAGATAATAAAAAAAAAGAGTCCGGCACTTCCCCCACAACATTTGAAACAAAACGAAAACTAAAAAACAAAAGCTTTCCATTCACATAGACACGCTTTATTTCACATCCTCAACCTCCTTCTCGGGACGATCGCCATCGGCCAACAGCTCGATCCCATCGTCCCCGCCCATCGTCCCGAACCCATTGAGCTCATTCTTAAGGAAAATTTCCTCAATATTCACCATCGACCGTGGAGTGCGTTTTGGACTCAACACCCGTCTGTCGTCCTCATCGAACTCACTGTCCTCGGTTTCCGTATCGCCGAACTGCAAACTCTCAATACTATCGGCATCGGCATTGTCCAAACTGTCCTGACACCCACTGTCCGTGTTGTACGACTCCAAATCGATAAAGTACTGCTCGTTGTCCAGAATGGCCGTGCGCCATTCCGTATTGTCAAACGGTGGCTGAGTGCCCCCGTATTCCACCGGTAGAACATCCTTCGAGATGTACTTGTGCAACGAGTTCAGATTGTGTCCATGCAAGTGTATCTGGAATGGATCATCGCGTTACATTAGACACACGTAGCCAGGAACAGGGATTTTTCCGCTTACCCGCCGTCGAATTTTATCCTTCAGGAACGGTTTCAGCACCGCCAGAATGGCATCGAAGTAGAACGGTTCGTGCAGCACGTGGAACGCTTTGAAGCGCATGGGGAAAGCCTCCTGAACGACTTGCACCGTCTTCCGAGCCAAATGGGGAGATAAATACCTAACGCAAAAGAATCAGAACAACTGTTATTAGTGAAGTGGTTTACCAAAAACATATTTACCTAGCATGAGCAAATCCCAACCCGGCCATGTCGAGCAGCACCACCAGACCGCCGATTTGCGTCTCCGGATTCCGAACCGCATCCTCCAGCGCGAGCACATTGCTTCGGAATACGTAGTCTACTGGAATTTTGTATGGATCACATTTCTCTGGAAGTGGTTAAAAAATAAACACACATACATGAAGTAGGTAGGTTGGATGAACAAGCGAAAGTTTTATGATGAGAAAAGTTTTATGCGACAATCAGTTCACGGCGACAGGGGAGACAACTTTGTGTGATTGCGGCGGATGTTGTTGTCATTTATTATGTGATTATTGATGGAGAGGATGGGAGAAGCACCAGACAGCGGGTGATAATAAGCTTACCAACTCTAAATAAATAAATCTGCCGTCCGTTGTCGTCCTGCTTTGGCAGCATACACTGGCACTGCATCTCGAGCATGAACTTCATCTCGGATGGGGGGGACACCTTGAAGATTTCCGGGTACTCGTCCTTCATTTTGTAATACTTTTGCATCTGCGAAATGGAATCAGGAGTTGGGAAACTCTTTTAACTTTGAAACACAGATTCAAGCAAGTGTATGATTTGTTTTTTTTTTTCCTTTTGGTTTGTTTTCCGTCGATCTTGTTGTCCGTGCTGAGCACCAAGTTACCCATGCCAGGGAGGCAGCTTTCACACCTGGACCCTACCTATCGACCCATCAACTCATGAACCGCACAGATAAAAATTCTGAATTTTAATAGTGATGTAAACATTCATTCACGTAAACTTGTATTTCATTTCACGCAACCGAGCAACTTGTAAACAATGTTGTTTACAACAATGGGCTTTTGTATACAATATTGTCTATATTGCATGAAATGTCTCAGAACTTTACATGATATATAATGTAAACTTATATGATATGTGACGCTCCATTTATGTGCATCATACTGAACAGAAATTTACACTACTTTTTCGAGCTGTGCGGGGACCAACGGCTTTACTTCCCTTCGGAAGGAAGGCGTGATCAGAGATGTGCCTCAGGACATCCCAACGGCGTCGACTGTGATTGAACCCAGGCCTGCTGGGGTGAGAGGTTATCACGCTTACCACTACACCACCGACGCCGATTTGAGTGTGTGGGGGTTATTCCACACAGATAAAAAATCTGAATTTTAATTGTTATGTATACATTCATTCGCGTAAACTTGTATATCATCTCACGCAACCGAGCAACTTGTAAACAATGTTGTTTACAAAGATGGGCTTTTGTATACAATATTTGCAACATTGTCAGAACTGTACATGATATACACAGCTAAAAAAAAGTAGTGTAAATGTGTTCAGATTTTTTTAGTGTGATAATGTAAACCTATATGATATGTGACGCTCCATTTAGTTGCATTATATGTATTGAACAGAAATTTACACTGCTTTTTCGAACTGTGCGAGAGTCGAAGTGACTTTTGTCACAAGTGAAGTGAAAAAGGTCACCTCGTGATGACGTGACTCTCTGGGCAAATCAAATGAAAGTCTCACTTCACTAGTGACAACAGTCACTTCGACTCTCGGAATAACGCCCTATGATTGAAGGAATCTCACAGTTCGAAAAAGTAGTGTAAATTTCTGTTCAGTATGATGCACATAAATGGAGCGTCACATGACATATAAGTTTACATTATATATCATGTAAAGTTCTGAGACATTTCATGCAATGTAGCAAATAATGTATACAAAAGCCGATTGTTGTAAACAACATTGTTTACAAGTTGCTCGGTTGCGTGAAATGAAATACACGTTTACGTGAATGAATGTTTACATCACTATTAAAATTCAGAATGTTTATCTGTGTAATTGACTTGTACACCAACTATTCATCCATTCAAAAATTTAAACTCACCATCTTAAACGCCTTGTCCACATCAAATTTCTTCGCGCGCAAAAACCGCAACAGGAACGAATCATCCCGACGGCCTCCCAGGCCTCGTTGATGGTGCTCGGCATAGATATTCAACTGTTGCCGCAGCTGACGTATCTTGGTGTACGTCAGGTCGCCTCCCGTTTCACCCAGTTCCTTTTCAGCTTTCTCACGAAATTTGCTATCTGGTGCGCACCCATGCGGATAATAAGTAGCAGAAGGAAAGAAGAACACATACACAGCATCAGAATCGGGAAAATTTAAACCAGGAATTGGCCCAATGCCATCACGCCAAACCGCCCAACCAATACAACAATGGGGATGGTTGCAACAATAATAGAAGAGTTGACTAGAGTGCTCTCATTTTGCTCTAATTGCCAAAAGGAGGTGAAGAGGATGACCGCACCAAGGGTTGATTGCATACTGACCTAGATTCTTGTTCATTTCGTACTCCAGCATGGCATTCTTGTCGGAGGTGGCGGTTTTCCCGAAGATTTTCCGCGGGCTGTTGATGGGAGTGCTGCCAGTGCTCGACATGTTTGGTGTTGTCTCTATTTGGTAATTGGTGTTTGTTCTTAGAAACTACTGGAAAACTAGCAATTTATCTATGCTATTCAGTGGTGATCGGTTGACGTGGTGCTTACCCTAAATCGTTGCTACGACGTTGAATTGACTATTTAGTTACTTGATTAATCAGGTAAGTATATTCCATGATGCTAAGGCCTATGATTAGGAGTTTTTAGTCTGAAAAAGAAATTAAGAAAAAACAACAATTAAATTCATCGTGAAAATGAATAAGTTCTCGTCCTTGAAATCATCTTTCTCAGCTCCCCATGCTAAAAGCGTTTCAAAAGAGGTAATGTCTACTTAGCTCCGCTTTTTATGTTCATTAGAATGTTTATTTTCGACTCGCACACTGATCGAATCTCATTCCACCCAACGACCTCCAATAAATTCATCAATCTCCGATTTTGCCACGCCTCATCCTAGCAAGATCATTTCTCTCCCAAGAACCGCTGTTCTATTACAAATTTGAACCCCTTTTCGGCCAACTTGTACCGCTAAATAAATACTTCCGACCTGCCAGACTTCGTGGAAACGCAAAACTCTTTGGCGCCACTTTGTCTATTTCCAAACCGACGCCACATGATGATGGGGTTTTACGGTTAACTGGCTCATTGCTTATATGTAAATGTATGTATACTGCTTTTGAATCTATAGTCGCACATATGCACCCTGCCTTTGCCACCACTAGTTTCAGCTTAGTGATGAAGAAACAGGTGATTTATGCTACCGACACGCGATGTTTACACGCCCTTCTCTCTCTCTCTATAGCCGTCGTCACAACTAATTCGTTTGATATGCAATCTGAATGTATTTTATGGGAAAATGAGCGTGGCATGCTGCAATTATGAGTCCGCTGTGAAGCAATGCTAAATCGATTATTGGTGTGTGCGTGGAAAGTCAATTTAGTCCCAGAATAACAAATGTGCAGAATTTCTCCAGGAAATCAATTGGCTGCCAAAGTACCGACTAAATTAATGAACTCGCTGTTCTCTGATTGTAAATCATCACATCACACTGATGTTTTGATGCAGCACGAGCGTGCCCCTCACGAGGATCGCACTGACTGCTAGAAATAGCTCACACCAACTGAGTTTGAGAATGTTTTCAAAAACATTGCAGCGAGACAAATCTACGTAGGAACATACCTACCGGCTACCGCAAATGAACAGAAGCTTGGAATAAGTGAGCGGCGATTAATCGCAGGAGCGATAGAAATGAAAAATGCGAAAGCGAATCCATCGAATGGGAAAAGTGAGAAAAATCAAGATTAAGGGGAGGTTTACTTGGATTTTTTCAAAAAAATTGAGTGAACCTTTGTCATGCGCTCTGAGGGACGCAACAAAAACTTTAAACGCGTTTTTCTCGAAACCATATTTTTTATAACAACTTAGAGCATAGGGCTTGAACAAATGATCCGATTTACAATCGGAAAATTGCGCTTTGAAGGATACTATTTTTTGTATGGCTTATACCTAAAATGAAAAAAAAATTTGTTAGTTACTATTTTTTAAGCAAGGTCAAAGTGAGAAAAAAAGGGGTAAAAAAAGCACTAAATTTTCAAATGTCCATAATTTGGTCAATTTTTGTCGGATTTCGTTCTAGTTAGGTATAAGCCATAGGGAATATTATCAACTTTAACCACAATAAAAAAATTTCATTTCAGTTCACCACCAGAGGGTGTACACTCGAAGTTCTGCAGCAAAACCTGACTGACACTCCTCCACGCGAGCCGCCATTTTGAGTCACCATTTTGTTTTTTACCTTCAAAAAATTTCCAAGTATTCAGGAATAGTGGACAAATATAATTATCGAAACCGGAAGTTCGTATGTCTTTTCATTCTCCTGAAAAAAAATTCCAAAGTTCAACTGTTTTTCAGCCAAATCCAAGTAAACCTCCCCTTAAAATAAACAAACTGTCACTCGATATTTGTTTTTGCACAGTCGGTTATGTAGATTGAATAGAGATTATTCCAGATTTGTAAACGCACAATTGCCCGTATATTGTTTTTTTACCGTAGCGGTCGATTTCTACTTAACGGATGGCTCTAGCTGACTGCATATCAATGGTTTCTAACAGTGTTGGCAAAATCATCAATTAAATTATATTATACCGCTCTCATACGCTCTCACTATCACTCGTGATATTGGAACAAAATATCATGCTTGATATTGATTTTACAAGCTCCTTTGATATTGCGAGACTATTCACAACGTGCAAAAATCAAGCTGAGAGTTGACTCGACACAAAAATGATTCCGTTGCACATCGATTTATTAGAAAGAGAAAGTATTGTTTGCTACACAGTTCCAAAAATTAGTGTAAATTTCTGTTCAATATGATGCACATAAATGGAGCGTCACATATCATATACGTTTACATTATATATCATGTAAATTTCTGACACATTTCATGCAATGTAGCAAATATTGTATACAAAAGCCCATATTTGTAAACAACATTGTTTGCAAGTTGCTCGGTTGCGTGAAATGAAATACAAGTCTACGTGATTGAATGTTTACATCACTTCTAAAATTCAGTATTTTTATCTGTGTATCTCTTTTTATTGTTCACCGATGGCAGACACGTAGTGACTGCTGTCCGCCGTTATGGAAGTTTTGGTAGCGTTTGGGTGTAAAGCAAAAATCATGAACCTTAATTTCACCATAGTTTGTTGAGATTTGCAGCTGGTGAGTGTTGTTAGCTTGATATTCCGAGCTGCGATATCACAGCTTGCAATATCAACCGCGGTTATTTGCTTGTTGATTTTTGCCTACGAAAATCAAGCGTGATCTTGGGCATTGGTGAGATTTGATTTTTTGATATTTTTCCAACACTGGTTTCTACACAGCTCGAAAAAGTAGTGTAAATTTCTATTCAGTATGATGCACATAAATGGAGCGTCACATATCATATAAGTTTACATTATATATCATGTAAAGTTCTGAGACATTTCATGCAATATAGCAAATATTGTATACAAAAGCCAATTGTTGTAAAAAACATTGTTTACAAGTTGCTCGGTTGCGTGAAATGAAATACAAGTTGACGTGAATGAATGTTTACATCGCTATTAAAATTCAGAATTTTTATCTGTGTAATATGTGATTGATCCGAATCCATGAATTCTTCAATGCACCACGTGTACATATTAACATCATTGACAAATATCAGGTTATCATGACGTTTTGATTTTTGAAAGATCAACACAAATAAAAGAAAAGAGGCCTACTGCGTAAAAATCTGTCATGATTACCTGTGCGCAACGCAGAATAAACCGAATGACTGACTGGGAGTGGCCGTTCATTGTTACAGTTCAGTTTTCAGTGACTTCTAATATTTAAGGATCGATAACGGTGGGGGAGGATTCTGGTCATTTCAATGAGCCGCCAATAGCATTTTTATTGACAAATATCTAATCTTCTGGAAATAAATATTGTCTGCACTGTTGAATCGTGAAATACATTAGAAAACGGCCAAATATTACCAACACGTTAAACAATTCAAGATTCAAACCACTACGACTCGAAAACGGTGCGACTTAGCAAAATTTTATGTCAGTGCTGTTTTTTTGTAAATTTGATGTACTTTCATTATATCAAACCGAGAAAAAAAATTGGACCAAATTTATTCAACATGGATAAATATTATGTTTCCAAACACTTATGTTTTTTTTTAAAGCAAGCTTTTTGTATCCATCTCCATCTTGACCTATAGAGTAATAGATTAAATTGGTTGTCCCTTAAAAACGGATCAAAAAGTAAAAAAATACTGAAAATCGTTTTTGAGAAAAATGGTTTTTAATTTTTGCATAAATAGTGCATTTTTTTTATCAAAAAGTCCCAGCCATTACCTGACGGAAAGGCAGCGCTTCCGGAGCAGTCTAATAGAGAAAGCGGAGAATAATAACAGTGGTGAGATCCAGGGTTGCTTCCACTTACTTGCTATAAAAAAATGATTTCCTTTTTTTTTTACTTTATTAGAGAGATTTTTAGCCGTTGGCTAGTTCAGCTGAATTTTGAAATCATTAGATGTTATAATGATATTTTGTACTTGTTAGATACAAGAAGAAGTTGACAGGCAAGTGTTTGACTCATAAAACCTGTCAATTTCGCTACCAGAGTGTTACAATCAGCGATCTTATGATTCGTAAGCGTTCACTCAGAGTGAGCGCTCGCAAGTCGTAAAATCGCTGATTGTGACTATCTGAATGAAAATTTGACAGGTTTCATGTGTCAAACACTTGCCTTTCACCCTCTTCTTGTATTTAACAAGTACAAAATATAATTATAACATCTAATGATTTCAAAATTCAGAAAATCATGTTTTTATAGCAAGTGAGTGGAAGCAAGTCTGGTGAGATCCACTACTCTTCCAACCGATGTTGGTAATGAAGCAAAACAAGAAGAGGAAGAAACATCGCCTGTTCGATGGTGCGAGTAGACGCGATGATGTCACCGGCGAACGCCGTTGAAAATGAGAACTCTGTCGGCCCAAGTGTGGCAAAAGTGAAGCTTCCCCCACTGGTGATGAAGAATGTGCCACTCAACACGCTGATTGGCGATTTCGCATCGCTGGGCGTCGCAGCCGAGTTCAAACTTAGCACCAAGGTGATGCTCCGTACAAAAGCGGAGAAGCCCTTCAAGTCATCAGGGGCCTACCAAACTTCGACCCCAAGATGATCGAAGCCGAAATTAAGGACCGATACAAGCTGGCCCCAATCGCTGTCTTCCGGATGACGAGGAGAGACGAAAACCGTACCCGGATTGTCTTTTGCTGGTGCACTTCCAGAAAGGGACGGTGGCACTCAATGCGCTGCAAGCCATCTGGTCGATCTATTCCATCATAGTACGGTGCGAGCAATACCGTGGCGGCCACGCTGCAGCAACTGCGCTCAAGAACACGCCACTTCTGACTGCCTTGTGGATGGAGCCGTGGCGTTAAAATGCGCCAACTGTGGTGGTGCTCATCAAGGTACCGACCGACAGTGCTCCAAACGCGAAGACTACAAACGCATCCAACAATCAACCAGGACGCAAGAAGGACAAAACCCCGTCATTCAGGACGGAGGGTTTCCCGCCTCTTCGGGCTCCTCAGCAAAGGCAAGCAAATTCGCGGGTGAAGCTCCTTCCCCTCAAGAAGCTTCCGGTGATTCTTCTGGACAAAGATATCCCCCTGGGTTTTGGAGACAGCCAACAGCGCAAAACAACAACACCGATCATCTCAGCGGATGAACTGTTGGAAATTTTCGTCAACTGGCTGGTGCTCTACGTAAGTGCCGAGAAGATTCAAGTCATCGGTAAGTTCATCATCCAGTATGGTGTCTAAACCGCTTACTATCGTCACCTGGAATGCTTGCTCCGGCGACAGCTTCTGGTTGCCTGACCACAACATTATTCGGCTTGATCGGACCATGGTGGTGTTGAAGTCGTCGTCAAGAAAGGAATCAAATACTACAGTTTGTCCCATACCCGCACCTCTATCATCGAGGTGCGGTGTGGAGGTGGAGTCGTTGACCCGATACGTCCAGTTCATCGCCGTCTACTGCCCTAGACAGTGTGCCACCAGCAGTGAACTAGCAGCTAAATTCAAGACGGATTTGTCCACTATCACCCGTACCGGTTACCGCTTCGTTGTTGGAGAAGATATGAACGCTCGCCATGAGGCCTGGCGGAACTACCAGCAGAACCAGAACGGTCGTCTGCTGTTCGACCGCTCGCACCATGGGCTGTACTCTCTTCGGTTCTCGAACGAGCCAATGGATAACCCGTCGACGCTGTTCCTGACAAATACCGGCTTGTCCTTAAACGAACTCAACTCCGACCACCTGAACTGGGCTGCAACGTGACCCCTGCTCCAAGTCTGCGAAAGGACTACCACCGCGTAAACTGTGCCCAGTTTGGACGCGTGCCGCTTGACATCGTGGAGTACATCGACTGCGCTTTAGGGGTATCCACCAAGTCATAACTGTGGCTGACGAGGCGTGGTAAGTTTATTGCTATTGATTCCCACATCCAACTCTTGATTCGCCTGCAAAATATTCGTAGACGCCAGTTCCAAAGAACCGGAGATCTAGCGAGGAAACGGGAAATGGCCTATCTAAACAAGAAGATTGCTTCTAGAATGGTTTCACTTCGGAACGAAAGTTTCGGGCGACTCGTCCAGAATCTGAACGACCACTCCAGACCATTCTGGAACGTTGCCATGGTCCTAAAGACGCACCCCAAACCCATTCCCACACTCAAAGATGAATATGATGACGATCGGCTTCCCAACAAACAATTTTAGCTGCAGCTTAGCTTATACAGGCAAAAATTAGCTGCGTAAGGCAGCCCTTAGCTCAGTCGGTAAAGGCGCAGCTACAAAGCAAGACCATGCTGGAGGTGGCTGGGTTCAATTCCCGGTCCGGTCTAGGAATTTTTCGGGTTGGAAAATTTCTCGACTTCCCTGGGCATAGAAGTATGATTGGACTTGCCACACAATTATACCAATGCAAAAATGGTACAGGCATCGAAAGCTCTCAATTAATAACTATGGAAGTGCATCTAGAACACTAAGTTGAGAGCACGCAATAAGCTAATATGCGATATGCAATAAGCTTGAAATGCGAAGAAGAAGAAGAAGAAGGCAAATTTTGGCTGTATAAGCTAATCTGCAGCTAAAATTGTTTGTTGGGTTATAATCACCCCCAGTGTTGGGAAAATATCAAAAACTCAAATCTCACCAATGCCCAAGTTCACGTTTGATTTTCGTAGACAAAAATCAACAAGCAAACATCTGTGGTTGATTTTGCACGCTGTGATATCGCAGCTCGGAAAATCAAGCTAACAAAACTCACCAGCTGCAAATCTCAACAAACTGTGGTGAGATTGAGTTTCATGATTTTGCTTTACACCCTAACGCAACCTAAACACGGCTGGCAGCAGTTATGTACTTCGTGTCTGCCATCGGGAAGAGTAAAAAGAGATAGCAAATTATACTTTCTCTTTCTAAGAAAACGATGTGCAACGGAATCATTTTTGTGTCGAGTCAACTCTCAGCTTGATTTTTGCACGTTGTGAATAGTCTCGCAATATCAAAGGAGCTTGTAAAATCCAATATCACGCGTGATATTGAGAGCGTATTAGTGCGGAAAAATATCATTTGATTGATGATTTTGCCAACACTGGTTAAAACTACTGTCGTGTCTTGGATACAACCTCTTACTTTTTTCATTTTTTTAACAAGTACTTATTACCCTAGAGTCATTTTTTTAGTAATATGTTTAACTGAAACTGGACATCATTATTTTGATTTACGGTTACTTTGATAATGCTCGATGAATGTAGAAAAACATGCATGAAACTCAAACAATTCAGTTCAAGAAATATGAAACTTTGAATAAGTATGTAATCAGAAAACATCATAAGCAATAAGAAGACAACATTGAATTTTCCATGATTATATCGGAAATACATTTCATAAGTGATTATTTGATTGCCCTTTCAAACAGGCGAAAAACAAGAAAATTGTTTTTTTTTCAGATATTTGGAAAATATGTAAAACATACTATATAAAAACATTAAACGATATCAATTCAGGAATAGTGCCGAGTAATTTAATGATTATATTCTACTGTCAAAGTTATCCGCATTACCAAATATACCCCGTTTTACGGTACACCATTCCACTTGAGAGGTGATAGCTAAGAAGAAGAAAAAGAAGAAGAATTACCATCGAGGTTTTCCAAATTGGTCCTGAAACATTGCTCATGAAATCGTATTGTCCATATTTGGCATTCACTTGGTTTACTGAGCTGAGCTCCTCTCAATCTAAGTTCTACTTAGCATTTTAATCCTTTAAATGTGTACTTCACAGCAAAACAAGTTTTTGAATATTAGACCTAAATTGATGCACATAGGGTATTTCATCTTATCTTAGGGGCCTCATAACCTAGTCAGTAAAGGCACGGTATTACCAAGCCGGAGGCGGCGGGTTCGATTACCGGTCCGGTCGAGGGAATCTTTCGGGTTGGAAATTTTCTCGACTTCCCTGGGTATAGAGTATTATTTTGCTTGCCACACAATATACAAATTCATGCGTTGGTATTGACTGGTTGGTTCGTAGACAGTTTTGTGGGATTCTTGACTCCCCCTCCCCCTGCGTAGACAATTGTTCATACAAAAATTTTAAAATTTGTATGGGCCGTGGATAATTGTCAAACGTCCCCCCCCCCCTAAAATGTCTACGTATTTTAGCTAGTATGCGCTAAGCAATAAGCTTGAAATGCGAATAAGAAGAAGAAGAAGAAAAAGGGTATTCCATCATCGGTTGTATAATATTAAATTATGCGATGTACACAGAAATCGTGATCAAATTGACATTCATGGATGTAATATTGTATCTATTTTATGCTATTAGGGGCTGTTCATTAACTACGTAGAAAGATTTTTGGGATTCTTAACCCCCCTCCCCCTGCGTAGACAATTGTCCATACACATTTTTTTTAATTTGTATGGGCCGTGGATAATTTCCACTGGGGAACCCAGTCTCTACGTAGTTTATGAACAGCCCCTTACATCAATATTTCATACATCAGCAAGAATGAAGTTGATCGATATTACATTTTGATTGCTGTGTTGATATCCTTGGTATCTCAAATATATATACCCATTACACGAGATTCACTGGACGTATTTTGGTTCCATGGACTTGTCAACAATGAAAGTTCAAAATACATTTTCCAAGTAAGCTCAATTAGGTTCAATAATCCTGTTCTAAGGAATATGAAAGTCCCGATATCGATTGTATTGACATGAAGGACTTATGAACTCCTTTTGTATAATCTGCATGTCACTTTTGAGTTCTACTGGGCTGCTCACTGCCCTGAAAACCTTTTAAAATTTTCCATCAATTTTGATCTATAGGTTGAGAACACTTTTTCGATATCATGTTCTGACACGATAAATTCGATTAAAACACATTTACCATGCCCTATTTACCCAGAAAAATAACGATGACCTAGTGACAACTTTCCTCTGCCCATGCAATCTCACATCTCATGAACTCTATCCCACCCAGTACTAAGTACAGATGTCAACATACTTCGAACACCATGTGACAATTTGACAAAAGCGTCTCCCGCCACACTGGTCTGTCGGTTCAAGACGGTCTTTTCGTGCAATTCATTGTCCTCACTCACATATGTGCCTCACGAATTTCCGCAAAATGTAGATAGCCCTCAGCGTCGAAGCATACTCAAAAGAGTCATCCACCGATAAAACGCGTTTGTAGTGGTACCCGCATCGCACCACGCGCACCCCCCCCCCCCCCCCCTTGCCAATGAAAGGCGTTGTTATTTTTTCATCTTCTCGACTCAGTTTACGTTGCAATTCAAAATTTATCTTTCCCTTTGCGATGAAAAGTCACTTTTATAATTAATTTCATCAGGCGCCATTGTGTCACCGTTCGAGGGGCGGCATCATAAGGAACAGTTCACTTGTTGTCTAATTTTCCTAGGATCGCATTCCTGTGAATGATTTTTTTGTGATGCAGGAAAATATAGCTACTCTGCCACTTACTACTGATGCTCATTAAGCTTGTTCTGCTTCGGGCAAAGTGATGAGGTCAGTAAACCTGATGACAATCCAGGCTGAATGTTCGAGATGTGAATGACACTTGACTTGCCCCAAAAGGCTATTTTTGCATCAGATTCTTTCGGGAACACTTCATCACTGCTCTTTTGATTGAAAATATTAAACATAATTCTAGCACTTTTGAACAACACTTGAAAAACTCTTACCAATCGAAACGCTGCGTGGCCAAAAACTCCTAATCAACAACTTTAGATAAAACTTGAAAATTTTCACGGTTCCTCCCCAAAAGCCAATACCTACTTTCACTTGTTTAACCTTCGAGTGCAAGCGGAAAAGCTCGACAGGGAAATGTGCCAATTTAACACTTACACAAGCAAACAACAACCAGGAACATGCCAACCCACCGCATACCACTCACCAACACGTGCTCACTGAGTCATATGGTTCTGGCGTCGGCCCTTTCACCCTGTTTTGTTAAAACCCTCGCAAAGGGATACCGTTTCCGTAGTGTTTGTGACCGTGAATTCAGAGCGTTAATCGGCCCCGTGACCACGCGGTAGCCTAACCGATCACCAAGGAAGAGAGAGAGCTAGCGAAAATTCGAGTCCGAACCGAACGACGTCCAAATCCGCACTACGACGCGGGCAACCGTCATTCGCTCTCATTGCTCAGACGAGGAAAATGTTTTCGGGATCGGGAAAATCGCGTGTAATGCGCGTGGATGCTCGGCGTGGTGGTTTGTGACAGTGTCTGCAGCAGCATTTATGGTGCGGAGGGTACTGAACGGCCGATTAAACCAACTCAACAAAAAGGGTTTTTGTTCACTCAACCTAGGTTACTCATAGCCTGAGTAATATATTTCACGATTTTCCTGGAAAACTTTTTGAATATGAGGAAAAGTGAGAAAGGTTTCACTCAGTATATTAGTATACTAAAAGAGTGAGTACAATTTTCGCCGATTTATTCGATAAGATTTTTGAGAAAAAGCGTGGAAAATTTAACTCTGTGTATAAGTAACCTACGTTTTTGCGGTTTTGAGTGAAAACCACTCAATTTAGAGTTGATTTCATCGGCCGTGTACGTTCGGAGTGGTGTGGGGTTTATGGTGACAATTCATTATAGCATCGAAAGGGAGTAATGCAGGTTGTGTACTTGACAGGCGATTATTTTGTGTAGGTGTGGGCTGAACTCAGGTTTGGTCAAACGAGTGGATATTAGGAATCAGCGAATCAGGCATGCTTCCGCTCCCTTGCTATATTTTTTTTTTCGGAATTTTGAATTCATTAGATGTTATAATGATATTTTGTGCATGTTAGATACGAGAAAAAGTTGAAAAACAAGTGTTTGACACATAAAACCTGCCAAATTCACATACAGATAGTCACAATCAGCGATTTTATGATTCGTGAGCGCTTACTCTGAATGAACGAACACGAATCATAAAATCACTGATTGTGTCACTCTGAAAGCGAAATTGACAGATTTTATGTGTCAAAAAAATTATTTTCAATCTCTTCTTGTATCTAAAAAGTACAAATTTTTATTATAACATCTAATGATTTCATAATTCCGAAAATCCATTTGTTATAGCAAGTGAGTGGAAGCAACACTGTAGAAATTCAAACTATAGAAGAATGTCAACTTCTTGCAGAATTTGAATTTTTTTTTTAATTATTAAAGTTATGTATTACAGAAACCGAGGCCAATTTAACGACATTCATAGAACAACAGTTAGTTTGAGAAACCACAAATAAATAAGTCACAACCAACGAAAATGTTTTTTCATCTTCCATTTGGCATTGAAAATTTGCAATTGATGTTAACGGCGTTGCTGTAGCTCCACCGAAGGAAAATTCCAAAAACAACTGTCATTTAGTGTGTGAAAAATAGCGTACTGTTCCTTACTCTTCGCTCCACTGAAAATCCCATATAACTATGTGTGTGAAGGGCCAATGCCGTCAACGTGAATACGATTTAATACGAAGAGCGAAAAATAAATGCAAAGCCTACTTGATCTATTTTAACCGATGCATTTTTTCTTCACTACCATCACTATTTGAAGAATTGAGAAAAAGAAGAAGAAGAAACGCAATGCAGTACTAAGTATGGCCATTTTGTCTCGAACCGAAGTCCGCCAACGCAAACCAACAAAATGAACAGGTAGGGGAACTTCTACTATACTCGATTGTGTTTTAGTTTTGCGAATGTAGGTTTCGGTTCCCGAAAAAAAGGCGTTACAAGGTTTGTTTAAAAAATGGAGTTGATGCCATTTCAATTATTGGTCTTGTCTTGTTCGCCAACTGAACTTCAACTTTAACTGGGCTGCTTTTTAACTGAGCGTTTCTTAACTGGACTGTAGCCGAGTTAAAAACCAGTTAAACGTCAAAAATTGACGACACATTTAGTTTGAAATTGCGTTGTCAAAATTGGTGAGGTGCATTCGAATGGGAAATTACATTCATTTCACACTGAAATCAGGACTTGAAAGCGTTCTTAGTGAAAGCGTTAAGCCTTTCTAAATTCGCAAAATTATATATTATTTTAATATTTTTCCAGAGGGTCTCAAAGTTCAACTTTGATAAAGTTGTTTCAGCTTGCCCCGGTGTACCGTATAATCAATTATCTTTTATAAATAATTATGTCCATTGCTTGTTAGCCACAACTCATCCCAGCGTTTTTTTCTTCTGTTTAAGGAATATAAGGAGTAAGTAATTTTTTTAAAACTTATTATGTAATTTATTAAATGATTCAAATGTTTTTGAAAATGCCATAATGTCGACGATTTCATATTTATATTTGAAAGCCTATCAGTTTAAAGCGATGGTACCGTATTCTGCTCGTGCAGGCACTCGTGCACCTCCTTCAGAACCTTATCCACTTCGTTTCGCGACATTCGTACCACATCTAGTAGACAACCTCTGGTATCATTCGTCAACGAAACTAGTTCCTGGGTTGTTTCAGCCAATAGTTTTCCAACATCGCTTATCATCTCCTGCACAATAGCTGTAGTCTCGTCAAACTGTTTGAAATTAATAGATTACAATAAGCATTACACTTTCCTTGGAATATTTCAATTTCTAATCTACTCACATGATCCAAAACGCATTTCACCTTATCCACCAACTTGGTATTCTCAGCCTCACAATTAGCTGCAATCTGTTGGATTTCCTCGACTTTGGCCACCTCGAAAGACACATGTTCTGCCGCATTATCGCCCAAAATTTTGACGCGTGCTTTGAGATCGTCGTAGCACTTTTTGGAGTTTTCTTGAGAAATAGCTGCGATTTTCTCTAGTTTACCAACTGCCGGAACCACACATTCCGCTACTTGATCTCCGTAGGCGGTCAAGTTCTGTTTCGCCTCCTGCAGATAATCGTTGATGCTTCCGTTGGCCAACTGCAGCAACTCTTCCGCTTTCTTGGCAACATCTTCCATCAAGCGATCCAGCTCCTTTTTAAACTCGTGAACAGCATCTAATCCGGCCTTGGCGATGTAGGCCAGGACCTTTTTTAATTCCTGGAACAGCCCTTCGGTTAGTGAGAGATGAGGACCATCGCTTGGTCGTGCCTGAATTAGATCCAGATGAGCGAGACCACTCCGTGGGAACGTTCTTCCGTAGGCCGTGGCAACGATTGCTAAACAGCAGACGAAAAGCAGTATGGCTTTCATTTTGAGAGAGTGTATGGACGAATACCTACTGATGGTAAGTGCAACTACAGAAGGCGGTTTTATATGCTTTAATGCAGGTGAAATCAGACGATTTATATCAATAAGAGGAATTCGATTGATAAGAGAAACTATTATCGCTTACGGACGGCGTTTTGTTGTAATCAGGGACAACGATAAAGTGAAGCTCGTTGCATTGAGACATGTAACACTTGAATCTGATGCAATTAACCTTAGACAGAAACACTTGTGATGCAATGCTGAACTTTGAAGTGGTGTAACATTATCAAAACAATACTTGCTTTCCTCAGAAGTTTGTATAGCAATGACTGTTTGAACCCCAGACGAATCGAGTATTTGTTGATATCATTCAACTCAAATGACCAAACAGTTAGGTGTATAAAATGAACGTTATTTATTTGTAACATATCCACTTGCTTTACCGAGAGCGTTTAACTCACACGTTCCCTAGATGTCCTTTCCACAGGATTATCGATTTGTAGTGCAACTCCACTAACTTAACCAATCAATATGTAAATAATATAGATTTCACTTATCACACAAAAATAGTATTACAGTTTAACAATCTAATTAATCACACTAAACTGTCACTGTTCTACATTTTCGTCCTTCTTGTTTTTGTGCTTTCGCTTACTGCTCTTCGTTTTTTCCACGCTTTGAAAGAACTTTGCATACTTGCTCCGATCTACATGCGGCTTTAGTTCATATCCAAATCGAACCAAATTGTCATAGTGGTGTTCTAAGTCCAACAACTGCTTATACAACAGATCAAAGTCGAACTTATCTCCATTAGTTCCCCCGTATTCCGCTGGGAGTGCTTCCTTTCCCAGATGATCGTGCAGCGAGTCCCAGTTTGAGTAGTGAAAATGTACCGAATCCTTGATCTGCTTGCTCAACATCGGATACAGAATTGCGACGGCTGCATTCAAGAATACCGACGAATTCACAACATGAAACTCCATATGTTTCACCGGCATGAGGTCTGCCTTTTGCGTTCCAATTCTTATGTTCGTGGGCGTCAGGTACCGCATACTCTTAATCGAATAACCACTCATATCAATTAGACAGGAGATACCCTTTTCCTGAGTTTCCAAGTCGTTCAGCATAAACTCGCACCACAGCTCGTCCAGATGGGCAAGGTCAGTAGCCGAGATGGTGTTGATGTCCATATTACCCATCTTGCTAACGAATATCCGTCGACCATTTTTGTCCCGCTTGTCAAGGACAAATTTGACATTTCGATTCAGCAAATCCTTATACTGACCGAGCTGCTTATCGATGAACCAATCTGGATGATCGTACTGGAATGGATGGAAAATTTAAGTGTTTTAAAAGAGAACAGCAGTGAACCCACTCCTACGTGATGAATATTCAACGAACCGTTCAGTGAACCGCCTATTCTATCAAATTGCACTCACCTTGAGTTTGAACAGCTTGAACATTCGTTGGTACGCTTGTTCGACGTTCCAGTCACAGCAGTACAAAAATCGAGTTAGAAACAGATCATCGCTCCGGCGTACGAAATCGTCACAATCTGGGGAATAGTGGAACCAATTAGTAGTGATTAACAATGCACATTTAATTAGAGTGCAGCACAGTCATTCAACTTTGTCGTAAAAGTGTTCTACTCTTGCGTTGCACAATTCGATATACATAGCTGCACGAGTCACTGCCCAATAAAAACCAAAGAGGAAGGTATTCAATTTCGATATGGTTGGCGACTTAATTCGCACGATCATCTACTTATGTTTCAACGCACGAGTATCAATCATAATTCTGCCCCATACTTGGGCAGTCTAATATTTCTTTGTTATTCATAAGCTGAAACTTGCATGCGGCAGCACTTTTGAATGGCTTAATTTCTGTCGCGATCGTCGTCAAATTAACGACGGTGCAATCCATTTAACGGCTCCCGTGCCGGTATGGACTAGTTATAATGATGATAGCGGAAGTTTAGCTGGCACGAAAAGTCAAGGATTTTGAAAACAGGATAACCTACCGCTTGGTGGTGTAGTGTTGGTATGCGCGGATGGTAGATTAGTTCTGGTTTTTTGGTTTGGTTTTGTTGATCTTGAATCTGCCGAAATGGACCGATGGCTGTAGGATGAAATTTTCTTACTCACCAATGCTTGGAAGTAATAAATTAGAGAGCGACATCCATCCTACAGCCAGCACTTGTTTACAGAAACGTGATTGACAACTGAACTCGAACAGTGATAATCGATTTTCTACTGGCATACAGTGGGAGAAAATTTTAATCAATTCAACATTTTTAAGGTTATTTAAAATTGGTGTGGAGATAAGATTTGAACTCAATATCTTAAGCACTAGTATCAGGCATCGGCAGAGTCGCCTACGATGGGGTGTTTCCCATTCAGTTTACTATACGTTAGGTATAAAAGCTCATGCTAGTTTTCTCTTTTTTTATAAGGTTATGGCTATACGTTCCTTTTATGGTGTGTTCCAATTATGGCCTATGGGAATTCTATAGGCTATAATTGGAACACACCTTATGAGCGTATGGCTATAACTGATACACCTCCCCTTTACGCTTTGCAACTCCAAACTTGTTTATGTAAATTCAGCATGCAGTGAGTTTATCAAAGACATAACCCGAGGGGATCTAAGAGGTCAAGGATATAAAGAAAACTTAAACTTTCTTGGGTATAAGATCTCCACAGTTGTACCAAGGCTAAGAATTTAAATAAATTTTAAAGATTCTAAACATCAGAAGGTCTTGAATATTCTAGAATTGAAAAATATATGAATCGCAAATCATGATCAATTTTTGTAAGCCACTCACAAAAACTAATATAACTATACAAATTTAACCTTGTATATTTTTCCTAAAATGATTTTATTTTTTTCTTCACGTTGTCATTTTGATTAGAAGTGACGTTTTTGCGCTATGGTTTATTGAAAAATATCGATACGCCATTTTGAAACTTTTCGCAAGATTCAAGATGGTCGAATTATAACAAATGTGAGAATGATTGCCCATAACAAACAATTCTATACAGAGCTGGAAAAAGGGCCAGTTTTCGTACTATTTTTGCCACATAGCATGATAAAGGAGGTTTTAATCCATGGTCCAAAGCGTCAAATACAGCAGGGAATGTTGTTACAGCTGAGTTATTAACGAAAGAGAAAGTCGATGAAGAGAATCGATCAAAGCAGATAGGCCATTTTTCCAGCTCTGTATAGAATTGTGCAAAGTGTCAGGCAAATCGGAGTTGGTCGTGTCTGACCCATTCGACATTTGGCGTGGAAATGCTCCACTGCATTCACGACTGACTCGCTGGTACCAGAGATGATGTTTAATAAGAGACGCGCGAAGACTGAAGCCAAAAGTTCCAATCGAACCGTCAAACACGGTTCCAATCGAGCAATGTAAATAAATACGAGCGCTTTACGAGGAAATCGTGACGAGTATTGAGATGGCGGTTGAAATTTAATTTTTGAGATTTAAATAATTGTAATTAAGTTTGCGTATGAAAAGTGCAGTTGGATGCTCTTTGACTTTTGGAATACAAATAAAACACAATTAAAATCTTTTGCGATTCTTTTTTTATATTAAAATCAATGTCGAAAGGCAAATATTAAAAAAATACAAAGCCGCTGTCAAGTTTTTAATCACTGGATTTGTATGGCTGATGAATGCCCCGTAACGTGGGTAAATCACCTTTTCGTGGTACGTTACGGGATGTAAGATCTACCACCGATTCCTAGTCCTGACTACTTCAAACGAGGAGAACAGGATTTTTCAGTAATCAAAGGAACACATCTTAGTCCTTGATAATTTTTATGCCTTGTTGATAGTGACAAAAGACTCGGCTTTGCTCGCCGAGAATGATCTTGAAACAAGGAAAAATTAGTTAGTTATTCTTCATCTATGTGATTCATAATCTTGTATTCGTTGTTCCCTAGTTTGAAGTGGTTAAGACTAGGGTTCTGATGCATGGTCATTATCGGTGTCATTCCTTAATTTTGTTGCTAAGGAATCCAATTTTGACTGACAAAGGGGCGCGCCTTTGGAGGGTGTTTCAACACTCCGAAGGGTATAAATAGCGGGACCTTTCAATTAGAGCCGGTAAGGATCCGACATTGCCTTCAAGCTACAGACCAATCAGCCTCCTTTCAGCGCTGAGCAAATTGTTCGAGAAACTCATTCTCAATCGTTTGCTCAAGTTTGTCGAGGAAAATAGCATTCTCCTTCCGGAACAGTTTGGATTCAGAAAGGGGCACTCACCAGCTAGTACGAGTGATGAATAACATCCGAAGTAACAAAGCTGTATCCAAGTCCACAGCCATGGCCTTGTTAGACGTTGAAAAGGCGTTTGACAATGTTTAGCATGACGTACTTGTGTACAAGCTTTGTAACTTCAACTTCCCATTACATCTGGTTAAAATCACTCGTAACTACCTCCAGCAAAGGTCGTTTAAGGTATCGTTGAATGGTTGTCTTTCAGACACGTTTTCCATCCCAGCAGGAGTCCCGCAAGGCAGTCAGCTGGGCCCCTTGCTACAGGATTTACACTTCCGACATTCCTCCCCTCGGTGACGGTTGCGTGTTTTTCCTGTTCGCAGATGATACCGCAATAGCCGTCAAAGGAAGGATGCCTCGCGAAATAACGAACAAACTTCAACGATGCCTCAACGCCTTTGCTGATTATGCCACCACGTGGAAAACTAAAATCAATCCCTCTAAAACACAAGCGATCATGTTCCTCCATCGGCAATCGCCAAAACTAAAACCGGCTCCCTCTTGTACTGTAACCATGGATGGCACAAGGGTTGAGTGGTCTGCCGAAGTAAACTAACTCGGGATGTTGTTCGATGAAAAGCTCCTCTTCCGTTCGCATGTAGAGAAAACTGTAGTCAAGTGTTCTGCCTTGGTTAGGTGTCTGTATCCGCTGATTTGCCGCAAATCCTGCCTCTCAAGGGTAAACAAACTGGCTGTCTTCAAACAAATCATAGCACCTGCGATCCTCTACGCAGCTCCGGTGTGGGAATCATGTGCACCGACTCACAGGATGGTCAGAATAGAGTGCTGAGTATGGTACTTGATCGTCCTTTCGACACTAGAATAACAAATTCACACGAAGAGGCAGGCATTGCCAAAATAAATTTCGAGAATTAACGACATTAACACTAAATTTGCACAAAAATGTATTTTATCAGAACATGCTTTGATAAGCAATTTGTAGATTAGGTGTACATAGTAGTTGTAGGTTAGTTGTAGTTGTAAATAGTAGTTATAAGTAGTTTTCTTTTTCAATTTAAAACAAACCAATCCCGCCAAGGTGGTCATTCTCTAAAACAGGCCGGATAGGACTAGGAACTTTAAATAATAATTAAAATCGCGCATCTGTGTCACTTGAAAAATTCATACATGTAAACCACACAAACACAAGAAATAAAGATCATTTAAAGCCAAAAATAAAATTAGGGTCGGATCCTTGCGATAAATGCAAGAATGAGAACTCTAAAAAAAATCGAATACCTCATAATTTTTCAATAGTGATGGAGTAATACGACATGCACTAAACTAAGGACACGGAATATACTACAATAGATCAAATTACTGGTCGCAGTGGTGAAGTGAAGAAGTGAAGAAGATGGCTAATGAATACAAAGTCAGAGCATTTTGAACTTATCATCTAGTTATACATAGCATCATCAAGGTAGCTAACCGGGCTGGAATATTATTGTTATTCACTAGCTGTATTCTCGTTATGTTCTCACGAAATATGCGCTCCAGTGCAACGCAAAACATATACACAGGCCCTGTAACCTTTATTCAAGGAGTTTCCTGTGTAATCTGTCAAGATAGTGAATTTGGGGAAAAATGTCTCTATCTGTGGGATTTCTCTATTACTTTCTGTTTTTGTAAACAATGCATTTGATCATCGGTTTGGCGTAACTGGTAACTCACCCACGGTAGTGTTAGTATGCGTTAGCAAATGCATTGTTTTCAAAAGCAGATATGCCCATTAGACTGATGCAAAATTTGACTTTTTCGCTCCACAGTGCTTAAATGGTTTCAATTCGGGTCCTGATTAGCCTCCCAAAGTTACAACTCATTTAGTTAGAAACAGACTTCGCACAAGTCATTTGAAGTTTACATGTAAATTACTATGGGAAATCTCAAATTTTTGTTCATTGCCTTCTAGTCTATTTCCATATTGAACTGCGAAAAAGTTTGATAGCCATTCTTATATAAAATTTTCTCAGCTACAACTTTGCTGAAGATCGTTTCTATGTAAAACGAGACAGGAAAAAGTTATTAATTATTTAAGAGATTGGTAAACTTATGACATGATCAAGCAGCTGCTCTGTAAGCAACACTTTATTTTGCAGTGCGACATAGTAGCCATGATTTTTGTGTCCTATTCAACGCCCCAGAAACACCAATGTTGCCTGCTGAGCAGTTGAGTGAGCATGATCATAAGACATCAGCGCATTGAACCATTGATAACTTTCAACCCTTGCATTTAATCAAAAAGTGGTTTTCAGCAAAGTTGTAGCTGGTAAAATTTCCTACAAGTAAAGTTGAAAGCTTTGAAGCAGACCGATATGGTGAATTATTAGATAGACATGAACAAAAATCTTGGTTTTACCATAGTAATTCCCATACAAACTTCAAATGGTTTGTGCCATCTCAGTTTCTCACCAAATGGGTTCAAATTTGGAGAGGTTAGTCAGGATCCGATTTGGAATCATTTAAGTATTGTGGAGCGAAAATTTCAAATTTTGCATCACTCTAATGCCCATTCAAAAAAAATCGAGATTTCGAAGCATGAATCGCAGATTGCATAGTTTTGCGCAACGCTCTGTAAAATATCCCCTCCAATGTAGTATATTTGGTTTCACTCAGTGTTGTCAAAAATTGATTATTCGAATACTTCGGTATTCAACGATACTACAATTTAAAGTCACTCGAAGTAAGCACAAAATTGCGGGTTGCCAAACCTTGCAGACAAAATAACTTTGTTGGCCGTGCAACCAGATAAAATTTTATTATCCTCGCGCGTCTCTTATAAAACATCGTCTCTGGCTTATACATGTGATTCAGCCTCACATAATGAAGTTTCAGAGGAAGCGTGCGATACTTTGTAAATCTTCTCGATAATGCTCTCTTGATTGACTTTAACTTACTCAACTCTCTCGTCTGCCATGGAGGGTGAGAAACTTTGTGGTGAGCGGGACGTGTCGGTCAATGACATATGCCAAGACATGTCAAAAGGTTTGTGCAGCAGCCTCAACGTCATCAAGATCAACGATGTTCTCTTATACCATGCTAGAAAATACATCTATGATGCAACAGTTATCGCAGCAGGATAATCGTCGAAATCACACACGGGTTTGTCCTAAACAGTGACAATTAGAGGAGGGTGATGCGGAACTAGCTTAGTTAGTGCACAAGTAGCCGAAGAAATTAATGAAGCCCTGCCCTGAGAGCTCACGAATTAGAGGTCCAAACTACGATTATTTTCGTTAACTATATGGTTGATTTGAGAAAACGTTGCTGCATTGTAGTTTTCGAGAAGACTTATAGCTCCTGCGGGAAATGTAGAGCTATGATCTGGATACAAGAATCCGCTATGAGATGGACTCCACGAAACGCCTGTCAGATTGAAGTCACCCAAAATAAATATCTCATCAACTGGAGTGGCACTTTCGGTAACTGTAAAAACTGACCGACAGTGAGTATCGATGAGTTCATTGTCTCGGACTTGATCTGGTGGAATGTACCCCTCCACCAGTAGATTAACGGATCGCTACGAATGACTCGCAAATATCACAGAAAAATAGTTTAACCAATTGACTCATTTATCAACTAGCTACAAACAAATAGCTTCATAATTATAAATTTATTTAATACTTCCACTGACTGCTGTAAACTATCTACTTGCATACAATTTTTTGTTTCCACCACATAAAAAACAACGCACATCTTCTTCCCACATTCTGCATTTAATTTTTTTAATCGATACAATCAATTCCGCCACTGGCATACGATCATCACTAATTTACAAATTAAAAAAAGCAATGGTTTCATATTCACCACATCGCATACCGGAAGAATTAAGTGCTGCGCGCAAACCGCAAATCGAAAGCTCACGTGACTGACGAAGCAATACTACAATGAGTTATCTATAGGTACCTACCACATGCCAGTTTAAGAAAGAATCAAAAACAACAACGACGACGACGACGACGGCGCTGTAATGGATAAGAAACCACCACCCGTGACACGTACCGACAATCAGTTTTATCCAACCGAGGACGGCTCTGGTTTGTCTATTGCCCCTCCTTTACCGAATTCGCTCATAAACTGTACCAAGATCGCATAGCTTTGTGATGGACGGGCGTCGCGATCAACATCAACATCATTCAGTGGAGGTTCAAATGATGATGATCAGTGATGATGCTGATTGCTTCCGATCACGTCCGTCGCATTCTATACCACCGACTGGCTGGTATTCTAGACAGGTTTTTGAATAGTGTTATGAATTCAAAACACGTTCCTCAAGAAGAGGGTAGGTAGACACTCAGAACGGAACAAAATCAACCGTGAGCGAGAACCCCCGTGTCATCGTTCGGGCTGCAATCGATCAACCGTAGAGGGTCATCCAAGAGAAGATTCGTTAAAGCAATAACACACATTTGACGCAAAATTCGATCGCTGGGAGAGAGAGAGAATGTCAAAGTACAGTTTTTGCTCATGGTCATTTATTTTAGTCTGAGAATAGAAGTCGATCAATGCAGAGTCATGAGATTACGTATTCGTTATCATCTTGCGTTCTAACATTGAAACTTGTTTATTTGACATTTCCTGTCATCGATCGCAACGCGGATTTAGTGCGTTTTTTATGGATATGAGCACGGGTGGCTCTGCATTTAAACAGTCAAGACACTATTTACTGTAAAGTTAACAAGCTTCCTTTATTTAGAATATTCTATTATGAAATAGACAATACAAGAAAGCTTAGTTTACCAGCATCAAAATCGTCCATAAACAGTAAATCTCGAATGTACACAAATCTCTCCCGTTCGGATAGTGCCTATGGATATAATATTGAGTGGATAACATTGGCAACACTCAGATATGTTCCGGATGCCCCTTCGATAGTGACCAGAATATGACAAAAATTTATACGAGAAAGACACATGCCAGCGGTAGGTGGATTAATCAGGATTTCAGCATTTTCACAATGTAGCAAAATTTCAAGTGAAATCACCATGGTCAAGGTAATGGAAATTGTTCAAATGATTTGAAAACTTTTTATATTTCACTGGTGAAAAATTCTGAGTGGTGTCTCTTACCGTTTTGAGATATGATAAAAATATTTGATATCGTTGATGTAAAAAATTAAAATCAAAATTAATCATGCAACTGACCCCTAACGTTGGACATGTGAAATTGCCTCACATCAACGCCCAAGCCACCATGCATCGTTGCAACATTTTTCAAGACATTCCATGCAACGAAAACGATCAACCAATGTCGTATGCAGGAGACCTCGAGTTCAAACACCATTCTAGCAAACATCGCTTGGCCATGGCAATAGAAGAACACGAGCAAGGTCGCCAATATTTGCCTATTCAACACGCTACCCTATCTTCCTTTATCGATCTGATACGGCTTTGATAGACGGTTATTTTCGATTTCAATTTCAATTAAACCAACTAGTAAGCGGTGTGCGCGGAAAGCGTGATCGCTTCGGTGGCGCCGGCTTCGACCATACCACTCATCAGCCGCAGCCCGTTGTTTCATAGAAACTAATCAAACAAGGTAAACGATGAACAAGCATAACCGACCAAAGGAAAAAAAACTAATTTGAAAGTCCCATACCTGAAACTTACTTTCGATTAGAGTCCGCAGTTCTTGGATTTTGCTGGATTTCTTCTCATCATCGGCAAACAGCGCCGGTGGTTTTCTCGACACTACTTCCGCTGCCGGCTTACGATCTACGGCTATGTTATTGTTATTGTTGTTGGTAGCGCTGCTGGTGCTGCTGCCGGTGCTGTTGACCATTTTGACAACTGGTACCACTGCTACCGGTGCGGGTTGCAATTTGGGTGATGAAGGTTGTAGTACTTCGATCTCCGGCATGGTGACGGTGGAACTTATCTACCACGTGGGCTAACACACAAGGTTCTATTGGTGGCCAAAGAGGATGAAGAAGAAGGAGAAGGTCGATTAGAGATTTTGATTTATATTGCTGTTTAGTGGATGCAATCGCGTGCTTGGGTGAAACTTGGTCGCTGTGGAGATTTCTTATGCAAATGAATTACTTGTTTGCATGTGTGGTGTCTCTTCGAACAAAGAGGTGTTAGACTTTTTGGATTTCAATGGCATTTTTTGTAGCTTGTATTTTTCAATGGCTTACCAAATAACGTATGTGTCAAGGTTGACAATTTGTTACTCGTGCGTTTTACAAATTTTAACAAATGAATCACTTTCTTTGATAAATATATAAAGTGTCTTCAGGATAAAATATCTGCTCAGCAATAGCACTAAAGTTACAGTTTGTTTTCCATCAGCAACTTAATTTCACTTTTGTTTTCGTTGCTTCAGAAGAACAATGTTTTGAAGTAATACTGAAATTAAGAATTTTCATTGAAAGAATAAACGCAATATTTCTGATAATACCACTGATAAATACCTTCGCCACTCATTTGTTCGTCAATGGCAAAGACTTACCTTGCTCTATGGGTCACGGGATTCCTCAGGTTAATCACATAAATCTAGACATCTATTTATCTACATATCATTTACAGGAATATTTGGAATAAATCGGTTACAAAATCATTCTGTAAAGTTATGTTGAGAAAAACTACAATGGACAGTCTTATGGGGTTGTAAATAGTGACGTAGGACTAAGTTTTATGTAGGAATAGGAATTTGAGCGGGGTTCTCTCTGTTTATACTCTTTAGTATGACGCGCTTGACATAGATGGTCCACAGTGACTCACGAAGAGCTACTGATTCCGATCAATAACGGTGCGGCTTCTTCCTCCTTCTATGGATGCTCATGTGGCTGCAGCGCGCTGCTTGCAGGAAGCCTTTCGTTGTGTACTAGGTACACCACCACGCACCACGCGGTGATTTAATAAACACTGTTGGGTGAGACCGGATGGAATTCCACTTTGAAATCTGTGTTAGGGAAATCGCTTTTCGCAGGCAGTCGGTGATAATTTTAATTATCATAGCAACAAATGCACATTCGTGCAATTTTTAAAAGTGACATTTTGAAAAATGATAAAGTTTTAATTTTAAAAGATTCGTGGAAAAATTCTTATCCATATACGTATTAAGAATTAATATCCATGATCTCTGGATCAAAATCAGTCCACTTTCATGCCGTGAACGACTTTGGTTTTTGAAATTGCACCCCCAATAATGCCTTCAAGAGCATGGTATGTCAGATTTAAACATATCTAGATAGAGCTGGAATTAGGCTAACAGCTTTTGTAAGCAATGACTTCTCTCGATGATTTTTAGGAATTCAAGACACGCCCACACAAACTAAATTACTTTTCACAGCAACAGTTGCGTAATTATCATAGCAACACATGCGTGCAATTTTAAATAGTGGCATTTTGAAAAATTATATAGTCTTAAGTTTAGAAAGAAATAAGAAATATAGAAATAGAAATATTTCTGATCAATTGGTGATAAAATTATTGAAATTGAGTTATGAACGTACAAAATCTTTCATAATTTTGTAACATGTTCCATTTGTACCCCCATATATAAATCACAGACGTCGTCCTACGTCAAAATATTTTCTATGATATTCTGAAAAAAAAAATATTCCATTATAAAATAATGAAAAATGCTCAAAGCTTCAAAAAGAAAATTCCATCATAATGACATTTAGACTGAACAGATTTTTTTGAAATATGGGCAAGAATATGTTCAAAAATTCTAGTTTCAGCTGGCTTAGTTTGGTAAAAATGTGTGTATTGTGAGAAAAATTAAAACAAACATGCAAAATCTGCTTTGGGAAGATACATAAATGACGTAGCAAGGGGAAGGGGTCCAAAGTTGGTGCTTTATACAATGTAAACATACATTTAACGTTTATTTACCTTTTCATGAAGCACCATCTTTGCTCCCCTCCCCCACCCCCTAGCCCTTGTAGCGTATTATTCTACATGGCTGGTCCCGTCAAATTGATCTAGATAAAAAAAAATCATTTTGTTATATTACCATGGTATTTTTTCGAAAGAATGCATGAAGTATTGAAAAAAAAATGGACAGTAGAGAGTTAAGGCATTCTGGCATTTTTTGAGCTATTTTGCGTTTTAACGCCATTTTGGGAATCATAGGCAAGTTTCACGATTATGAGGTCTATTTTTTAGGTTTTGACGTTTGAAGTAGTTATCATTTTCTCATTGTTAGGACTATTTTTTTGACTGACTTGATGTTTTAGCGCAATTTTGCCGTTCTTTACTATTTAACTTGCTTTTCAGTTTTTTGTTTTTTTTTTGCAGTTTACCATTCTATTTAATATTTTAAAAGAAGGTCGTAATCGACAACAGTTTTTGAATTGTTATCCCATCAGTTGAGAACCTAGAGAACAGTTCACGTTGACGAACAAAGAGGACTGTTCACATTAACGATTCCAACTTTATATCATTTACCATCTACCATTAAGCAGGGTAGATGTTCCAGTTATGGCAGTTATGGAACTAATGTTCGTTCCTATTATGGTGTGTTTTAATTATGGCATATGGGTTATTCCAGCTCAAGTGGGTACACCACCTGTGGTCGATATCACCTATTTGAGACAAACATGGCCAAAACACTTATTTTCGCATTCTGAACAAATGCCTTTATTGATTTTGCTCTAAGTGCTTAGATCCTTCTGGGCTACAATCCTGGATTTTCGAGATTTTTAAAAATATCAACTTTCAGAACAGATTTCTCCACAACTAGATAAGCTATTCGTGATCTTAGAACGTCAATTTGAAGGTTTTTTAAGGTTAATTATTATTGGTGTACTCACATTTTGTTTTTTTTTATAGTAACTACAGTAAACAGGCTGATTACCGGCAGGTATTAAAATTGTCAAAAATGGTCTATTTTCACCATGGGCGGGATTTTTTATTTCTCAATATTTTGGGCTCAAATTTCCACCACACTTTGAAAATAGTTTTTGAGATATGACCAGATGAGTGAGAGATAGTTTTGAGTTTTTCTGGTGAAAAATAATGCTATTTAATATATTTTATATTTTTTTCTTGAATTCCTTCCCGCTGATGGCACAATAATATTTTAATGTTATTTTTCACATGTTCTGTTCTGGATTCTCATTATATGAAATCATAACTACCTAATTTATTTACTTCTGTCCTTAATTTAATTATGGTCCTAAAAGTGAAAATACGTTCCTATGGGATGCAGTTAAAACGTGCTTTAGAAGTACGATGAAATCAGATAGATTAGCAGGTATACAAAATTTCAGTTGTGGAAAACAGCTGTTACTTGAATAATACCGAAGACTACAAAACAAGAAGACTGGCAACTGTTCCCTTCTTCCATACAAATGTCAAACGTCACTGATAACAGCGCCTCTGTCAATCAAAGGTGAAACTTTGAAGCACAAGTGCTAGTGAGATTGATCATAAACAGTGACTGTGTGTGTGACCTAATGTCACCGAAACGAATAATCATAACACGGTACTCCTTGTTGTTTTTGTTTTGCTCTACAAAATTTCACGGCAATTTGTATCCAGCAAGCCAGTGGTTTTCCAACTCCAAACCGAAAAACTTGTCATGGTGGATCAAGTAGAGGATTGAAACTCGGATCGATACCTAGTGAAAATAAATTTAAGTTGTGAATGAGAAATCGATATATTGTTTATTTTGCCTGTTGGAAGCAATCAATTACAAGGAATTGACAACTTCCACCACTATGGAGTGAACTACCATCATTCGGAAGCTGAAAAAAAAGAAAAAAATCCGGTACCTACATCACGATCCAACGGAAGGCGTAGCAGGATCTAATGTAGGAGAAAATGAAAATGAAAGGTTGAAGGACTACAATCCCAAACGGTTCCTATTGATAAAGAATATATTTTCATTTTAGATGTTGTCAGAACATGAAACCACCGGATAGTGGTTCTCTGTATGCTTTAACAATTCTTGGAATCGACTTTCATTCCAGAGAATGATAACAATAGTGTCGTATTGGCAGTGACATTCAAATGGTCAGCGAGTACTGTGCCAAGTTGCCGAGCGTCACAACTTAACTTCCCCCACTGTGGCCAGGTGCCAAAGCCATGCGGAACGGGCCTGCATTTTACTAATGTACCATACGAATTCATAGGCGTACCCAGTAGTAACTGCCCCAACCCCTAAGATCAGCAACACAAAGGCTTTCGGGGAAATGAAAAATGGCATTCTACCAAATTTTCCATAGTAATTTTTTTTAACCCCTCCCTAGCTCAAAACCTGGCTACGCCCTTGTACGAAAGCCCATAAATGCATCACTAAAGGGCTTAGAAAAAGTGAAAGATAATGCTGAGATGGCAAATTAATGATCGAGGAAGGTCCCACCATCATTGTGAATGGCAGCATTGCCATAGTTTTTTTTTTTCAAAAAAAAAATTACTAACGCATCTCCTCAATTTCAGCTGGTATTTTACTCGTTGTCAGCATAGAGCAAAGAAAGAAACTTTTCACTTTTTACGACAATCAAAACAAAACCAATAATTGACAGCTATTTATTTCTACCTATGTATGTGAATGCACTCGTGAATTAACACACACCATCATACATAGGTTCCACTTTTGCTCAGAAGAGGCGTTGCCGTTACTGTCTTCTGATTTTTGGCAGAGTTGCCCGTCTTCTTGATTTGTAGTCTTCGATAATACCCTTATTTGAGTAATTAATTTTTTTTTTTAGATACAATCTCACGAGCAAGAATGCTTTTTTTATCATAGTTATAAAGAAAAATAAACGTTGAACCTTTATTTTTCATTTTTTGAAAACACACTTTCCATTCCTGAACGTAACTGTCATGTTCTTCTTCTACGCATTTAAAGTTTATCATATATTAGCTTATTGCGTGCTCTCAACTTAGTGTTCTAAATGCACTTCCACGGAGGTTTCGATGCCAAAATCAATGCATGAGTTGACTGTTAAC